TATTCTCCCGCTTAAGTTTTCTGATCTATACAGGAGGTTCTGACGTTTTTTGGTAAGACACTCGTTTATGTATACCTCTTTCTTTACTTTAATAGATGCAATAATTAAGTCTTTTTTCCTGTCACGTGAGTGGAATCTAAGCATAACACTTTTTCTACCATGGGATCCTAGTAACCTGGCTTCTTTTATTTCAGACTCTGGTACAATAACACTTGTTTGGTCCTTTATGATCTGCAGAGTAATTTCTTTACTGTTTGTTTGGTTCATATCACTGGGAAAAAGTGGACTGTTAACTATAATACATAATGCTTTTGTTTACAATTCTCAGCATAAATTATTCATTACTTCTCCCTTTGTTTATGATGGCATCTAAAGGTAGTTAATAGAAACGATTAAGCTCAGTGAACATGGTATGCCGATGGTAATAATATGGCTCTGGGCCACATTAAACATCGTGTAGCTATGTAAGTAGGTGTAGGTATGTAGCCCAGGCGGACTACATACCTACATTATTATTAAAACTGATAATTATACTTACGTGTACCTGTACCTAAGTAAACTTACGCACTGTGCTGGCATGCAGGTACACATTAAAATCACTAAGAGAGTCTTATTAGTCTTGAAGATGCCTTATTAATAATAATAATGGTAATAATAATAACAAAATAATAATCACTCTGAGGTGCATTAAATATCATATAAAAGGTTAATATAGATATTTTGCTTAATCCATCTAAATACACCCCACAGTAGAATAAATTAACATAAATATGAGATGTGGTACCTAGGTGACTTGTAGAACTTGTGGTAACCAGGCGACATGTAGTCCAACATCAGAGAAAATGTGTACACTATAATATTACTGGGGTGGCTAGAAAATTATTCCTTTTGTATGGCTTCACTTAGGGTGTAATTTCTTTTAACTGTTTCAGGGTTGACAGGCCCTCTCCCATACTTGTTCTCAGGGTTGACGAATTTTAAAAAAAAAAAAAAAAATTATTTTTCCTTATGAAAAGATAGAGAATCTTTTCCCGATCATAATGACACCAAAAGTATGAAATTTAATGGGAAACTTACGGAATTATGCTCTCGTGAATTTAGCAGTCTCGACGATGTTTACGCATCAGCGATTTTGCCCACTTTGAGCTCTATTTTCGGCCAATTCCAGTGTACTAGTTGACAAAAATCATAACTATTTTACTAGAACTCCATTTTTTCTATCGAATGAGTACAAGAAACTACCCATTTACTAATTTCAACTATCCAATAAAGTAGTCAGAATTTAGCAATTTTGCCAATTTCACACAAAATTCAAAAGATGCCAATTTCCAAATAGGATCCAGAATAAACAAAAAAGACATTCCTAGCACTAAAATAACATTTCCTCTGTTCATTAATCACATCCCCATGCCTCTCTTACATTCTTTTGCTTTCCACTTTGAATTTTTATTCTCGCAAAAAAATAGAAGATTTACTGTTATGCAAACTACTGCATTAGTGTAGAAATGGTATAAATAATATCAGCGCACTTGTGAAAGAATATTAGACTCGCCAGTTGATGTGTATTGGACACGTAGCATGATCTGTTTACTTTTGAACTTCGGCAAAAATCAAAGATTTCTGCTACTTTGAGCTCAATTTCAAGGTACTTTTCATTGTAAAACCAATCAAAATCGTCTCAATTTCTGTAAGATGTCTTCCATTCTATAAAATGAGACCAGAAAAACTAGAATACCATCATAAATACCATACGAAAATACAGTGCAAAGTCGCTGTTTTAAACCAAAAACACTGTCAAAGTTTTTTTTTTCTCATTATGCACTGTGTGCTGCAGGATTTTTTTTATACTGTGCACACTGACCACACAGACCCAATCTTCCATATGTAGGCCTACCAGCTTTTTCTCGCTAGATTTGAGAGCACTAGAATTTAGGCGTACTAGTACGTCAAAAACCTTGGTGCGTAAGCCGTACTAGTACATCAGAAACCCTGAAAGGGTTATAAATGGTGTTACATGACAATGGGAGTGTTTCTCTATATTTATTCTACTGTATCAACATGTAGACAACTTGTACACAATGTAAAGTGACGAAAACCAAGCGTGTTCGTCTGGTTTGTTTACATTACGTGTGGGTGGGGTGGGGTGGAGTGGGGTGGTGATTGCTGCCCTTCCTGTCTACCCATACTTTCCAACCTGACTTCCTACATTAAGACTACAAATATTTTGAGGTAAATAATGAGTGTACTGTGTGTGCATTTTAGTTTTTAATGTCTAACTTAATATATGTTAGTGTAAACTTATCTGGCATTTATATGAATTTATATATGGAAAAAATGGAGTTCTGCTTTCCGGCAGTAGCCTGGAACCTAACCTGCCATGTAAGTGGGGCCCTACTGAATACAATAAAACTCCGATTTTCATCCAGTCTGAATATCATACAATTTGGATTTCAACCACTTTTTCTAGCTAATTTTTAATCTGGGTTTTGTACATCGACTCAGAAGTCATCCATAACAGACTTGTCCGCCCGCCGCTGCCGCCTGACTCAGTCTGCCTCTGTCACTTGTCAAGTGAACAATACTTCATGTGTTCATTCATTGTTTTTGTGCTTGTTTATTGAGTGCGACTGCAAAATAAGCCACTATGGGGCCAAAGAAAGTTCAGAGTGCCAGTCATTTGGTAAAGAAGGTGAGAAACATGATAGAATTCAAGAAAGAGCTTGTATCAAAATACGAAAGTGGGGTATGTGTGGCCGAGCTCGCCAGAAAGTATGGGAAGTCCAAATCAACAATCAGTTCCATCCTGGCGAAGAAAGTAAAAATCAAGAAAGTTAATGTGGAGACAGGAATAAATATGCTAATGAAACAGAGATCACAAACAATTGAAGATGTGAAGTTGTTGTTGTGTGGATCAATGAAAAATAGTTACTGGGAGATAGTGTTGTGGAGGGGATAATTTGTGAAAAGGCAAGGCAGTTGCATGCAGATCTCGTAAAGAAAATGTCAGGAAAAGTGCTGCTGTTAGTGAATTTAAGGCCAGCAAAGGCTGGTTCGACAATTTCAAGAAGCGAAGTGGCATACACAGTGTGGTAAGGCATGGCGAGGCTGCAAGTTCTGACAAATGAGTGGCCGAAGAATTCGTTGATGAATTCATGGAGTACGTAAAGGCTGAAGGATTCCTCCCCCAACAAGTGTTCAATTGTGACGAAACAGGCCTATTTTGGAAGAAAATGCCAGAGAACCTACATTACGCAGGAGGAAAAGGCACTGCCAGGACACAAGCCTATGAAGGATAGGCTAACTCTTTTGTTCTGTGGTAACGCTAGTGGTGATTTCAAAGTGAAGCCTTTACTTGTGTATCACTCTGAAAATCCCCGAGTGTTCAAGAAAAACAATGTCATGAAGAGTAAATTGTGTGTGATGTGGAAGGCTAACAATAAGGCATGGGTCACGAGGCTAATTTTCAGTGAGTAGGTCAATGAAGTATTTGGCCGAGTGTGAAGAAATACCTCCTGGAAAATAAATTGCCATTCAAGTGCCAACCTGGTAATGGACACTTCTCCTGCTCATCCTCCAGACTTAGAAGACCAACTGTTTGAGGAGTTTAGTTTCATCACAATGAAGTTCTTGCCCCCTAATACCACTCCTCTCATCTAGCCCATGGACCAGCAGGTCACTTCAAACTTAAAAAAAATCTACACCAATGTTTCAAAGGTGTTTTGAAGTGACAGCAGACACTGAATTGACCCTAAGAGAGTTCTGGAGGAATCACTTCATTATCCTTAATTGCATAAGCCTTATAGATAAAGTTTGGCAGGGAGTGACTTCCAGGACTTTGAACTCTGCTTGGAGAAAACTGGCCAGAATGTTTCCAAGAGAAGGAGTTTGAAGGGTTTGAGGCTGACCCTGACGACCCTACACCTATTGTGGAATCTACTGTGTTTTTGGGGAAGTCCATGGGGTTGGATGTGAGTGGCCAGGATGGCCTGTAGAAGACCATAGGGAAGAGCTAACCACTGAAGAGCTACAAGACCTTCAATTGGAACAGCAGCAGATTGCAGCTGAGGAAATTGCTTCGGAGGAGGAGTAAGAGAGGCGAGAATGCACCTCCTTCAGTGATTAAGGACATGTGTGCAAAGTGGAGTGAGTTGCAAAGTTTTGCAGAGAATTATCACCCTAACAAAACTGTTGCAAGCTGTGTCTGCAACATGTTCCATGACAATGTCTTGTCCCATTTTAGGCAAATCTTAAAGAGACACCAGAAACAGGCCTCTCTAGACATACTTTTTGTGCGACAGGGGTGCAGTGACTCAAGCTGGTCCTAGTGCGAGTAAAAGACAAAGAAGTGAAATAACCCCGGACAGGGCTTTGATACCTGAAGCCCTTATGGAGGGGGGATTCCCCTTCCAAACAATAACCTCTCCTCTCTCTCCCCTCCTCGCCTTCTTCCATATACCAACAAGAGTCTTCAATAAAGGTATATAATAGTGATTTAAATGTTCATTTATCCATTAAAATTGGTGCTTCATATTTATTTCTCAATTTTTTCTGTATGTAAAATTATAGTTATTCTCTAAAAAATGTATTTTTTGTTAATAATTTTGGGTGTCTAGAACGGATTAGCTGGATTTACATCATTTCTTATGGGAAATATTACTTCAGTTTTTGTCTATTTCAGATTTCAACCAACCTTCTGGAAATGATTAAGGACAAAAACTGGGGTGCCACTGTATATTCTTTACTAAAAATTACTTATTACAATTTGGAAGCAACTAAAATTTAGATTTTTTTTAAAATTGAATTAATAACATTCTCTTAAACTCTGGATCCTTTAAAGAGTGTAAATTTCAAATATAAATGTGCTCTCTGAAAAGGGATTTATAATATTTTCTAAACAACAAGAAGCTGTCCAATTCATATTATATGAAACCCCTACTTTATGCAGAAGTAAGATAACATTAGCCTGTAAATTCAATAGTATAAAAACAGCAAATTCTTACCAAGTGAACATAAGGAACAAAGTAGCCAAACAAAGCAGATGGAATGGCCAAAGTCCAAATAACATATCGTTTATTTTTCCAGATGTCAAAATTTATAATACGTGACCAGAAGCTTTTGCAATGCCCCTTGCACGTGTTGTCATACTTAGGTCTGGTCTGCGGCAAGATTGGCATTAGCGGCTTGAATACCAAAGCAGCTAGCTGCAAAAGAGAAGAAAAAATTACATAAAATATTTAATTCTATAAGGAGGTGGGGACCAATATGGTAACTTTGTATTTGTAAAAACTCAATTATACTTAGCAACAGTGTTCAAAGGTCATATGCAAGTGAAAAAGTGGGCCAGTAGGCCTACTGTAATTCTCTCCATTTGAATATGTACATCACTTACCATGAGGAAAGCATTCAGCCCAGCCAAGACTTGAAACGTTGTCTGCAGTCCAATGTTCAGGACATGTGGTAGGATGAAAGGCAAAGCAATGGTGAAGATAGAAGAGCCAGCCGTGACGAAGCCATTGACAATGCCCATCCATCGTTGAAAGTAGTGTCCCAGAATGACCAGTGATGGAGTGTATGCCAGTGATGCTCCACCACCAAACATTAAACCATAAGTAATCATCAGGATTTCAACCTGAAATAATTTATTATGGTGACTTGAGTTGCTATAAGACAGAGTAGTGATAATATTAAGCTACATATTTGGTGATTAAGTGGTATAGGTTGTGTTTGATGCTTAAAATGTCAAAGGATTAAGATAATTCTGTTAGAAAATATGAAAAAAACAGACAAATTACAAAGCCCAAAAACTATTCCTTAGAGCTGCATAAAATGTCTCCAATGTTATTTTGTAATTTATGACAAAATTTTTTATCCAATTTTACATTGGATAAAAAAAAAATCACCCCAACATATACAGTGGACCCCTGGTTTTTGGCCAGTGCGGAAATCGTACAATTTGGAAATCGAGCACTTTTTTCGGCAAAATTTCCCCCTAGATACCATGCATCTGCTCAGAAATCACTGGTATGAGACACGTCCACTCACTGGCAATGCCGCTTCCTCACATGTATCACACTCAGTCTGCGGGTCTCTCTCGTTGAGCTGGGAATACTTTGCACATTCATCCACTGTTTCTGGTGCTTGTTTATTGATTGCAACTGTGAAATAAGCCACCATGGGGCCAAAGAAAGTTTAGAGTGCCAACCCTTTGGTAAAGAAGGTGAGAAACATGATATAATTCAAGAAAGAAGTTATAGCAAAATATGAAAGTGGTGTACGTGTGGCCAAGCTCGCCAGGATGTACAGGAAGTCGACATCAACAATCAGTTCCATCCTGGTGAAGAAAGCAGAAATCAAGGAAGCTGATGTTGCAAAAGGGGTAAATATGCTAACGAATCAGAGATTGCAAACAATTGAGGATGGGGAGTTGTTGTTGATTTGGATAAATGAGCAACAGTTAGCAGGAGATAGTGCTTCAGAGGGAATAATGTGCGAGAAGGCAAGGCAGTTGCATGCAGATCTCGTAAAGAAAATGCCAGGAACAAGAGCTGCTGTTATTGAATTTAAGGCCAGCAAAGGCTGGTTCGACAGATTCAAGAAGCGAAGTGGCATACGCAGTGTGGTAAGGCATGGCGAGGCTGGAAGTTCTGACAAATGTGAAGTCAAAGAATTCACTGATTAATTCAAGGGGGTACGCAGAGGCTGAAAGATTCCTCCCCCAACAAGTGTTCAACTGTGACGAAACAGGCCTCTTTTGGAAGAAAATGCCAAAGAGGACCTACATCACGCAGGAGGAAAAGGCACTGCCAGGACACAAGCCTATGAAGGATAGGCTAACTCTCTTGTTCTGTGGTAACACTAGTGGTGATTTCAAAGTGAAGCCTTTACTTGTGTATCACTCTGAAAATCCCGAGTGTTCAAAAAAACAATGTCATGAAGAGTAAATTGTGTGTGATGTGGAAGGCTAACAATAAGGCATGGGTCACGAGGCAAATTTTCATTGAGTGGGTCAATGAAGTGTTTGGCCCAAGTGTGAAGAAATACCTCCTAGAAAATATATATGCCACTTAAGTGCCAACCTGGTAATGGACAATGCTCCTGCCTCATCCTCAGGACTTGAAGACCTATTGTTTAGAGTGTAATTCATTCACAGTGAAGTTCTTGCCCCTAATACCACTCCCGTTTTTTTTTTTTCAATCCAGCCCAATAGACCAGCAGGGTCATTTCAAATTCAAAAAACTGTAACCAAGCAAGGTGTTTCAAAGGTGCTTTGAAGTGACCTCAGGACACTGAATTGGACCTAGAGATTTCTGGAGGAATCATTCAATATTCTCAAACGCATAAGCCTTATAGATAAGACTTGGCAGGGAGTGTCTTCAGGACTTTGAAAACTCTGCTTGGAGAAAATTGCAGCAGAATATCCAAGAGAAGGATTTTGAAGGATTTGAGGCTGACCCTGTCAACCTATTCCTGATTGTGGAATCTTATCATGTCTTTGGGAAGTCCCATGGGTTGGATTGTGAGTGGCGAGGATGTGGAAGAGTTGGTTGGAGGATCACAGGGAAGAGTAACCTCTGGAAGAGCTGCAAACACCTTCAACTGGAACAAGCAAAAGACCACAGGTGTGGTATGTTTGGGTGCAAGCCGGAGCTACCATACCGGCTCACCCCTCCCACACATAATATTCTATGACATTTAAGCATCCCGACTGTAGTGATAAAATGCACATTACAGTGAACCAGAAAAAATACTTAAGCCGTTCCAGAGTGGGTGTCTTATTCCAATCTGACTTAATCCGAATGAAATTTTTTCCCCATAAGAAATAATGGAAATCCAATTAAATCCATTTCGACCACCCAAATGTATTAAAACAAAAATAATTTTTTTACAGAAATATACATTTCCTACAACAGAAAACAATGAGACATGCAGAGTAAAAAACATTACTAAAATACCTTTATTGAAGACTTATTGAAGAGTGATGAATGGGAGGAGGGGACAGGATGGAGGTGTACTATTGTTTGGAAGGGAGTCCCCCTCCATAAGACTTCAGGTTACCAACGTCCTTTTCGGGGTTACTTCTTTGGTTTTTAATGCCACTAGGACAGCTGGAGGGTCACTGCACACATGTGGCCACTAAAATACTGTCCAGAGAGCTCTGCTTCTGGCATTGTCTTTAAGATTTCCCATAAAATGGAACAGCATTGTCATTGTAGATGGTTGCTAGCTATGGCCTTGGCAACAGCTGTGTCAGGGTTGATGTTCATCCATGAATGTTGTACATAAGGAAAGCAGGAACACTGCAGCAAGCCGTTGGCCCTATAGACAGGTCCTTCCCACTAACAGAATCATATTGCTTCAACCCAATTTTCAATTCTTCTCAAGCAATAAGCATTGATTATTCTATTCACACAATGAAAGTCCCACTAAAAATCAAATCGTGTGTGGTGGGGAAGTACTCTGGCTGGTATTGTGGGGAAGTACCCTGGCTGATGTGTGGGGAAGTACCCTGACTGGTGTGTGCAAAAAGCACCCGGTCTGGTGTGTGGGGATAGTACCCGGCTGGTGTGTGGGGAAGTACCTGGCTGGTGTGTGGGGAAGTACCTGGCTGGGGTGTGGGGAAGTACCCTGGTGTTCGTGTGGGAAAAGTACCTGGCTGGTTGTGTGGAGAGTACCCTGGCTGGTGTGTGGGGGATAGTTACCCTGCTGGTGTGTGGAAGTACCCTGGCTGGTGTGTGGCAAAGCACCTGTCTGGTGTGTGGGGAAGTTACCCTGGCTGGTGTGTGGGGAAGTACCCTGGCTGGTGTGTGGGGAAGTACCTGGCTGGTGTGTGGGGAAGTACCTGTGGTGTGTGGGAAGTACCCTGGCTGGTGGTGGGAAAAGTACCCTGGCTGGTGTGTGGAGAAGTTACCCTGGTGGTGTGTGGGGAAGTACCTGGCTGGTGTGTGGGGAAGTACCCTGGCTGGGTACCACCAACACTACCACCTCACCCCCCACTTACGTATCTTTCTACAAACTTTTTCTTGAATTTCTATAGTGCTTCTCACCCTCTTTACCAAAGGCTGGCACTAGAGCTTTCTTTTGGGGCCATGGTGACTTATTTAGAGTTTCAAGCACTTAAAACATGGAATTAATACAAAATTGTATCGCATGTACGCGTGGAGGGAATCGTCCTCACTGGCTGGTAAACAAAAGGCACACTGGCTGTTCAGGATTGTCCGAGCCGCTCACGGCACGCGGACATGTTCAAGACGAATGACTTTAACCGAGTTCATGTGTTGTTAAACCAAGCCAATATTTTGATGCAAAGATGTTAATTCCATTTACTACTTAATCGATGATGTCTTAATTCGGGGGTCCACTGTACAATTCATCATTTACTTACTTAAAATATTCTGTGTCTTAAACCCTTTCAGGTCCGTCCCGTATGATCTACGGCTTCACGTTGGAGTGTCCAAACCATAGATCTATGCCCAAAAATTCTAGGCGCCGTCATATTTTAGTGCAGAAAGCGATCATAGGCCTACATGTAGAGAGGAATGGTCTGGCGTGGTGGGTGTGCACCAAACAAAAATCTAGGCGCTCGCATAGCATTGTGGGAACACCGGCTCAGTTACCCTTGTTCACCAGCATGTCGCAAGGCAGCTCTCACTCCACGGAAAATTGGGGACTCTCCTCTTCCTATCTGAGAGTTCTGACACTGATGAAGTGGAAATGAAGACAAATTCTTTGGCTTTGATCAGTTAGTGACCGAAAGGAATGACCAGGATATTGATAAATAGTGCAGAAAACCTGACGATCTCAACCTTCTACCTCTGGTGTGGGCACTCCTCAGTTCACAGTCGGTTTACCTCAACGCAAAGAGAAAACGATTATTTTCACATGGCCAGGCCTCTGACTTCAGCTAATGCATGATAGTGACATGGATTGTTGATTTTATTTGCTCTGACGATCGTTCGAGGAGTGATAGTGAGGATCATATTCACCAGTGAAGCGTCGGTTTGTACACCACCGCATGACTGAGTAGTGATACCCTATGCTGTCTGCCCCATGGATGGAGTACATCCCGGGCCCTACACCAGGTTTGAATAGTGTAGTGAGGGATGATGTGGCTACACTTGGGCAATGGATAGGACCACAGGCTATCAGTAGATGGTGGTAAGTGGTGATGGTAGTGCCACGGCCATCGTGACTCACCAGCCCAGGCTGGGACCCACGATGCTGACTTTCAGTTCAAGGACAAAGCGGCGAGCATCAGCCACCAGGCCCACCACAACCACAATACCCGCACAACCGGCACTGTGATGTCAGTATCCACCAGCAATCCGTATCTGGGGATTGGCAGCAAATTCCCAATTTTGTTCCAAGCCTCACCACTTTTGTGACTCTCAAAGTGGAAATTCTACCTACTTGTCCCTTGGAACCACGGCCAATGAATGGAATTCTTTGAATTATTCTTTGACCAGCCATTGAGTGTTGGAGACAACTATTGTAGGGAAAGTAATAAGTAGTTTGAGTACTCACCATGGCAAATACGAATCATATCACCACAGTCAGACTACAATGGTGGAATGTATTTGCAGAAATGTTATTGCTTTTTGCAACGATAATGCTGATGCCTCATGTCTATAA